TGTGTGTGTGTGTGTGTGTGTGTGTGTGTGTGTGTGTGATTATATCGTATGATGTTTTATCGTGATGTGTTCAGGATCTCTGTTACAATGTTACTGTTTTGGTTGTGATGCATGAACAACGTTGAGCGTGTATTAGGGAAGGTTAGTTACCGGAGAGTAAATTATTCAGGAGAACTCTCCCCTTACATTAACTGCCCTGTAACTGTACCACCTTAATAAACCTCGGTGAAGCAAAATGTCTTGTGCTTAAGACTCTACATGAAAGTTAAAATATATATGTTCAGTGCACATAGATATATAGTGTATATAGTTACGTAGTTATACATATCATACAAAAATCCACTACAACTGTAAATAATAAGTTCCAAAAAGTAAATAAGGTAACAGAAGTGCAAAATTATGAAAGGTTTACAGCACTGAAAAAGGAAACACAAGGAGCCAGACAGGTGCAAAGAATCAGGACAATCGGGGTGACACTAAATTAAAAGTTATCATTCGAAATCACCAAGTAAAATAATAAACAACTCAATATTACCAAAACTAAGACTCATAATCTATAAGAATAATGAAACCATAAAATCAAGGATCCCAAAACACAATGGATAAAAACCAAAACTTTAACAGCATTAAACTTTAAAAATAACCGTTTAAACTGTAAAACAGCAAACCAGAAAAGTTTGTGAACAGGAATCTAGGCTAAAAATATTAAGGAAGAATTCATAACAGGAATCAAACACCAAAACAAGGGGTCATGACAGAATGCACCATTAATTTGCTTTTAGAAGGGTTATTTATTTATTTATTTAATGTATTTGTAATTTTATTTATTTATTTATTTGCTTCTGTACAACCCTGAAAGAACCTTGAACTTTGGTCTGAGGTCTTTGAGAAACTAAATGTAACGGTCTGACTCCAAAAGGCAAAGAGTCAGCAGAGTAACCTGAGTCCTCAATACAATAACTAACAAATTGTCCTTCGCGTAGTTCCTTCCATTGGACATCAGTTGAGCCTTTGCCACTCACCTGAGTGAGTGGCAAAGTCTTAATACTGTCCCAGAATTAAGACTTTCTGTAGCCACAGCAAGGGTTGTGTATTCTGGGGCTGTTGCTGAAGGATCTTTAAACCTGACCATATTTGCAGGGGACAAATCTCTCAGTGCCTTTTTATAGTGGCAGAAGATCAGAAACAGAAAAAAGCCTGGAAAACAAACAAGTTTTAGACAGAGTTTAAGCTTCAAAATGTGGTTTATTGGAGAGGCATTATTTCACAGTTTTTAAGACACACAAATTGAATCTATTACTAGAGACTTCTTTATGTTTTGGAGGCATTTCAATTCTTACAAGAAGTTAATGGGATTATGTTTAATTAATTTAATTAATTACTAAACTGTAGTGGGTGTAGTGAACAATGACTCCAGACTGCATAAGATTAATACCTGGTTTGGTCTTGTGGTAAAACAGTAATGTCATTAGTTTATGCAAACTATTTCATATTTGTGTGTCAAAAGCAAATTTACAACACAATATAGTTGATTATATTTTATTAGATTGGCTGATTGATTGGCCTGTGCTTGGCTGTGCCTCTGCCTTTGTCCATGCCTTGGTTTATATTGCATGTTGTTCATCTCCCTCAGACATGTGATCGCCATTTTTTGCTGGGTGTTGGATGAACAACTTGTTATGTTTCTTCTTATTAAAGAAATTAAGGACATAAATTTACAAAGGATTTTTTAACAGAATGTTGGAATGGCAAACTTTATTGCTAAGGTTTCTCAGGACTTGCAGAGGTTTCTCAGGACCCCCTCTGCGAATTGCTACCTTATTGTGGTGGAAGGGTTTGTGTGTCCCGTGGATCCCAGGGGCTATGTTGGGCTTCTGCCCCCTGGTAGGATCTCCCATGGGAAAATGGTCCTGGGTGAGGGACCAGACAAAAAGTGATTCAGAAGAGCCCTATGAGAAAAACACCTAGGAAACAGTTCATCCTGCCCGGGATAGGGTTACCGGGACCCCGGCAATGGCACCTCTATGGCGGGGAAGGAGCCTGAGTTAGTGAGTGAGTTTGAGAGGTACCAGCTAGATATAGTCGGGCCCACCTCAACGCACGGCGTGGGCTCTGGAACCAGTCTCCTGGAGAGGGGCTGGACTCTGTCTCAGTCTAGAGTTGTCCCTGGTAAGAGGCGGCAGGCTGGGGTGGGTATTCTAGCATCTACTCAGCTTGCTGCCTGCCTGTTAGGGTTTCTCCCAGTGGACAAAAGGGTTTGTTCGCTGAGCCTTTGGATCGAGGAACAGGTCCTGTGCTTATGCGCCGAGTGGCAGTTCAGAGTACTCAGCCTTCTTGGATTCCCTGGGTGGGGTGCTGGAGGGTGCTCCGTCTGGGGACTATGTTGTCATACTGGGAGACTTCAATGCTCATGTGGGCAACGGCAGTGAGACCTGGAGGGGCGTGACTGGGAGGAACAGGCTCCGGATCTGAACCCAAGCAGTGTTTTGTTCTTGGATTTCTGTGCAAACTACTGTTTGGCTATAACGAACACCATGTTCGAAAATAAGAGTGTCCATAGGTGCAAATGGCACCAGGATGCTCTAGGCTGCAGGTCGATTTTGTAATCACATCACCAGACCTGCAGGGCTGAGCCGTCAAATGATCACCACCCGGCGGTGAGTTGGATCAGGTGGCGGGGGAGAACACTGGACAGATCTGGCGCACCTAAAAGTATAGTGAGGGTGTGCTGGGAACACCTAGCAGAGGCCCCAGTCCGTGAGATCTTCAACGCACACCTCTGGCAGAGCTTCAACAGCATTCGGAGGGAGACTTGGGACATTGAATGCAAATGGACCATGTTTAGCACCTCCGTTGCCGAAGCTGCTGCGCTGAGTTACGGCCACAGTGTGGTTGGTGCCTGTCGTGGTAGTAACCCCCAAAACTGATGGTGGACACCAGAGGTGAAGGGATCTACCAAGCTGAAGAAGGACTCCTGTAGGGCTTGGTTAGCCTGTGGGACTTCTGAGACAGCCGATAAGTACCGACAGGCCAAGCAGAATGCGGCTCAAGCAGTGGCTGAAAAACTTGGAAAGAGTTTGGAGAGGCCAAAGAATTTCAGACTGCCTCATGGAAATTCTGGCAAACCGTCAGGCGACTCAGGAAGGGAAAGCGGTGCTCTACCTGCACTGTGTATAGGGCGGGTGGAGCGCTGCTGACTTCGACTGAGAAAATTGTGGGGCAGGAAGGAATACTTTGAGGATGTCCTCGACCATCCCACTGGCACTTCTTCCGTGAAGGAAGCAGAGTCTGGGGACAAAGGGGATGACCCGCCTATCTCTGGGGGCGAGGTCACTGAGGCAGTTAAACAACTCCTTGGTGGCAGAGCCCCTGGGGTAGATGAGGTCTGCACTGAGTTGATGAAGGCTCTGGATGTTGTAGGGGTGTCCTGTTTGACACGCCTCTACAATGTTGCATGGAAATCAGGGGTGGTACCTCGGGATTGGCAGACCGGGGTGGTGGTTCCCATCTTTAAGAAAGGGAACCGGAGGGTGTGTTCCAATTATAGGGAGATCACACTCCTCAGCCTCCCTGGGAAAGTCTATGCCAGGGTACTGGAAAGGAGAGTCCGTCCATTAGTCGAACCTCGGATACAGGAGGAACAATGCGGTTTTCGTCCTGGTCGTGGAACACTGGACCAGCTCTTTATCCTCTCAAGGATACTTGAGGGTGCATGGGAGTTTTGCCTTGAAGGTGCATGGGAGTCTACATGTGTTTTGTGGACTTGGAGAAGTCATTCGACCGTGTCCCTCGGAGTGTCCTGTGGGGGGTGCTCCAGGAGTATGGGGTGTGTGGCCCATTGCTACGGGCCATTTAATCCTTATACAACCGTTGCAAGAGCTTGGTCCGCATAGCAGGCAATAAGTCGGACTAGTTCCTGGTGGGTGACGGGCTCTGCCAGGGCTGCTGTTTGTCACCAATTCTGTTCATAATTTTTATGGACAGAATTTCTAGGCACAGCCAAGTGGCGGAAGGCTTTTGACTTCAGTGGTCTCAGAGTCGCATCTCTGCGTTTTTGCGAATGATGTGGTTCTTTTGGCTTCATCTGGTGATGGCCTCCAACTCGCACTGGAACGGTTCGCAGCCGAGTGTGAAGCAGTGGGAATGAGAATTAGCACCTCTAAATCTGAGGCCCTGGTCCTCAGCAGGAAAAGTGCCCACTCTGAGTCGGGGACGAGTTCCTGCCCCAAGTGGAGGAGTTTAAGTATCTTGGGCTACGTTCACACTGCAGGCGAAAGTGCAGCAAATCCAACTTTTTTGACCCTGTGCGACCCATATCCGATCATGGTATGACAGTGTGAACAGCACAAATCCGATATTTTCAAATCATCCGACCTGGGTCACTTTCGTATGTGGTACTGAATCCGATACATACCTGATGTTTTAGAAAGCCACTGCTGTTTGAATGGTCATGTCGCATTAAATCTGTCTTTTATGTCACTGACACAAGACAGACGCCAATTATCAGTGCCGGAGAAGCGCCCGAGAAGACATCGCAAATGCTTCCTGGCCATCCCGTGTAGATGTTAGTGAAACAGTTGGGAAGACAGTGTTGGAGAAACGTGAACATTTTATTTGTACTGTATAATCTGCAGATTCTGACAGAAATCTGCAACTATCCTTTGAAGCACCGCTCCTCTCTAAAACAGCAATAAGGATAATTATTGGGCCATATGTAAATAACAAAATAACTTTATAACTTAAAGCAAAACTGGGAAACGTAAAGTCCGAAACAAGTCTTTATATTAAGGGCCAACAGTCAAACAATATTTTTTGGTCTGGATCTAAACAGAGCGCGTTGTGTGTGACGTTGTCTTTTGCGCATGCGGGCCGCTTTGAGGGTTCACACTAGAGCGCGTTTGCTGTCACATTTTATTTGTAGTGTGAACAAGCAGACAAAAAAATCGGATTTGATCAAAAAAATCGGAATTGAGCATTAAGACCTGCAGTGTGAATGTAGCCTTGGAGTCTTATTCACGAGTGACGGGAGAAGAGACAAATTGGTGCTCCAACTCCAGTGATGCGGACCTGTTTGTTGTGGTGAAGAGAGAGCTGCGTGTAAAAGCGAAGCTCTCAATTTACCGGTCAATCTATGTCTCTACCCTCACCTATGGTCACAAGCTGTGGGTATTGACCAATAGAACGAGATTGTGGATACAGCAGAAATGGGCTTCCTCCAAAGGGTTGCTGGCCTCTCCCTTAGAATTAGGGTGAGAAGTTCAGTCATCTGGGAGGGGCTCAGAATTAGGGATGGGTATCGAAAACCGGTTCTTGTTGAGAACTGGTTCCCACTGTTTCAATTCCTTGGAATTGTTTGCCATTTTTGCAAACGATTCCCTTATCGATTCCAGTCGCCCCGAATGACATCACCACGTTGCGGAGCGTCATTTACCTGGCAGGAAACACGGCGCCTTTAAGCGGCTCAAACGCTAAAAAGTTTGGTTATACTTTACGAGAACGGATGACAACAGGGCAACTTGCAATACTTGCAAAGTAGATATTTCATTTAAGGGAGGAAACACTACGAATATGCAAAAGCATTTGCTCACAAAACACGCGATGACCTTAAATGAATGTCTTGTTTTTAATTCCGCTCCAGACTAGTGAATCTCAACCCAGCAGCAGCGGTAACGTTTGCACGTCCTCTCCCGTTAATGCGGCAGGTAAATAATCAACTAACAGTGCATATTATGTTAGCGCGATCTGCCTTATTACAAAACCTGCCATTACTGTGCGTTTAGGTGACCATGATGAGAGAGACAGACAGAGTCTGGCTCAGATGCTGGCAGTTCTCACTGCAGTCTACGGGTAGCGTCTCCTTTCAGGCCTAATGTCTAGACTAACGTCACCGAGCAGTGGCAAAAATCTATTTGCCACAGCAGATGGCCCTGATTTTCGGTAAGTGAATGTGTTTAATTGTAGGCAGGGACATTACTGGATATTCTTGTGTAATTGCTACAGAATAATTTATGTTATACTTTGTTATTGCTACAGAAGAATATTTATTTTATTATTTTACATTTACAATTTTTTCCCCCGGGGACCTTGTGACACCACATTGAAGAGCCATAGGCTGCATCTCTTAAGATCTCACTGCTGGGTTTGTAAGGCCATGCTACTCCTAAATTTCTATCTTGTTCAAAGAGAAGATATAAAACAAAGTTCTAAGCTAATCAACCTTAGTGTTCTCATTTTTTAAAAAAAGAATCGATAAGAGAATCAATAAAGAACCGAATCGTTAAACAGAATCGAAAATGGAATCGGAATCGTGAAAATCTTATCAATACCCATCCCTACTCAGAATACAGCCGCTTCTCCTCCACATCGAAAGGAGCCAGTTGAGGTGGTTCGGGCATCTGACAGAAGATGGCTGGATCGATGGATGGATCAATGGGCTTCTTACAACAAGGAAAGGGTGGAACCTAAAAATTTCTTTACCAGTAATTAAGATGTGCTAACACATTTGGTATTTACTATCAAAAGTGTAGCATCACATTGGTCAGTGGATCTGAGGTTTAACAAAAACTCAATTGTTTCTTTTGTGAAATAGAATAATCATGTAACACTTACACAGCAGTGGCAGCACCACCAATATCCCAATGCTTGCAGGTCCTAATTGCACTCTTTTGACTGGCTGATTATTGCCATCCCATTTTCCACACACAATTCCATCCTCACACGTGCATACTCGAACCCAGACTCTCTGTGGTTCTGGGCAGGCCTTTCCCTGCTGATCTTTAATCACCAGTTCCACCTCATAGGTACCCGGCCACATGGAGTCTTGAGCCCGCAAGATAGCCGCAGTATCTGTCAGAAACCACACAGAGATGTTACACATGTACAGAATGAATGTATATTATTCCTGAAATGACAATCTTACAGATTAAATTAAATAGAAATCAGTTTTATTTACATAACACAAATTCACAGGGTCTCAGCGTGTTTTAAATTCTACAGCAAAGAGCCTACAGTATTAGAGAGAACGCCAGCAATCGGATGATTGCCTATGAGCAGCACATGGTGATGGTGGGGTGGAAGAAAACACAAAAGTTATCATCCCGCTCGTTGGGGGCACATGGGAAGTGAAAAGAAAGTGTAAGGAAGAAATGCTCATCATGGGAAGACCCCCACCCTTTAACAGCACAACATTAGCAATGGTTCAGGGGGACATGATGTAGTCCTAACTATAAACTTTATCAAAAAGAAAAGTTTGAAGGCTAAAAAGTCGAGAAGATCTCTGCTTCCCCAAGCCAAACAGTTAGGTGGTTAGACAACAGAAAGCTGAAAGTTGTCTCACCATTCCCAGACCCTATCACCTAATAGCGAAATATTCAAGACCTATAAAGATTTGAAAAAAAATCTGGATTTAACAGGGAGCTGATGAAAAGAAGCTAATATAGGAAACATCTCTCTTTCCAGTATTGCTAGTGTTCTTACTGCAGTTTTTCACTGACTGAAGGCTTTTCAGCTAGCTTTTAAACCAACCTGATAATAAGGAATTATTATCTGAGCAAGCAAGGTAAGCAGTGCTTACCAAGTGAAATCTAAAAACAGACACCAACTAACACCAGCCAAAGTAAAGGCAATCTCTCCTCATATATCAATAGGCATTCTTTGTGATAAAGCTTCTATCATCGTTTGTTTGCATCCACTAACCGGTGCAGCTGGCAGCATTTTCGTATTGTTTGCATTTATATTGTGGATGAACTTCTGGTTTTTGACAACAGACTGGTGTAGTTTGCATGCTAGACAAGATGTTGCTGATTCTGTTTTTAATATTCAGGGAGACCTGCAGGAGGATAGCTAATCAGGGCTAAGTTACTCTGGCCCACATCAGCTACATGGATTTCTTCTTTTTTTTGCAACTTTTTTCAACAGGACTCTAAGATAGAGAATGCTACGCATACAATTTGCAGGTCATTGAGCAAAATGAAGATTTGAGAAGGCACATTTAGTTCATGATAGGAAATATGTCACTCTGTAAAATAGTGTACGCTTAACAAGACCAACTAGTGGGACACCATTGTGCATTAAATCAGAACAGGACAAAACACAAAGAGGAAGTGCAGAATACCACAACTATTTGGTAGTCCACTGGAGATTGACAAGTTTACTGGTAGTTTAAGAATATAACCTCTTATTTGTTAAAAAAAAAAAAAAAAAAAAAAACCTGAAGTAAATTTGCTTTACAAAATGTGGAAAACAGAAATATAAGGTGATAAACTAAATTCCAACATATCATGCATTTATGTATATATGTATTATATTTTCTATTGTATTTATTCTATTGTATATTTAACTAGATACATTTGAAATGATTGGAAGTAATTTCCTCACCATTTAGAGTCTCCATGTGCCATTTCCCTTCAGTATTTTCTGGGATAATCTCAAACTTAAAAGGAGGTCCATTAGGATTTGCATCCTCATTGTTAGCATTCACAATAATAGAATTCTCAGTGGTGCACATAGTCTTGATGTCACTGGTCACGATAGGGCAGTGGTCATTAAAATTGTCCAACTGGATGGCTATGGTACCAGTAGCTGTTTTAGCAGGTGTGTCTGTGATGTAAAAACAGAAATAATAATATATAATTCATCACTTTTTTTTTTAGTTTTTTTAGTTTTTTCCTTTCTTCAGAAACAGGCTAATGGCATTCATTCTGTACCTTTTGTAATGCAGAGTACTTTGGCAAAATATGTCCCATTGACCAGGTATGGAGACTCCCTGTCAGGTATCCTGTTGAGTTTGATCTCAGCTGTCTCTGGGTCAATAGTCAACCAGTTATCTGGGTCTGAGCCTTTGGCATACCTATATCAGAGATAGGCCACAAACCAGTTATTATTGTACTTAGGAAGAGAAGATAACATGTAATTCTTGTTTCATGTGTATGCACTGACCTGACATTCTCAGCCAGTTCTCCGGTATCTCGATCTATTGCAGGATTGCTAGCAACAACATCTGTAATGTTGAAGGAGGTGTCTTTCTTGGAGATGGCTATAGCTTTGACTTTGGGATCAAAATGTGGCCCCTCAGGCTGGTTCTTTACATTGATTTTGATGGGATAGATTTTATATTCTCCCCCCCATTGCCAAGATGATCCTCCAGAAAAAGGTGGGGCCTTGTTCCTTACAGTTAACCCCAATACAAAGTTCTTCACATTCTCATAATCCACAGGCTGTGAAATGGCAGACATAAAGAATAAAACTGAAATAGTGGATTGTGTAAAAATAAGTATGTCATGTATTATGAGTGTATATGTCCTCATGTAAGGGGCATCCTGCCAGCATTTAATAAATGCATCCCACAACACACTGCATAACAACACATAATTTCTTCAAAATTTAGTCTGCTGTACCTTATCAAGCATTAAGATGCCCTTGTTGGTGTTGGGGTCTGTTTTAATGCTGAAATACCCGCCTTCATTGCCTCTGACAATATTAAAGACAGCTTTCCAGTTGTCTGTGGCCTTCAGATCTAGGTCCTCTGCTTGGATCCTCATCACCTCCACACCTTGTATGTTCTCCTCAATGCTTCCTTCATACTGCGGTGGAACACTTAAAAGTTATTTCAACATTTTTTATGACACTTAATGTGTTCTTTCCTGAAATCATCTACAAAGGCCTTTGGAAACATATTCTAACACATTGAACACAAAGTATATCATGTTAATATAGAGGACTGTGAGGAAGAGAAGTACCTGCTCTTTTTCCAGAGTGGGAAGGTTGTTGTTCACATCACGGATGTTTATAGTAACATTGCCTGTTCCAGTGTTTCCTTCTGGTAAACCTTTTAGGTCTTGGCCTTTTACAGTCAGAATGTACTGACCACATTTCTGAAATCAGAAGATTGTATGCTGTATATTACAAGACCATAAGAGCAACTGAAGAAATGTTTGGGCTGTCCAAAGTTAGACTCTCAGACAAATTTGTAAAAGGGACACATTGGGGTGAATTCACTGTTATAGTTGTGGTTTGCTAATCAAAAGGTTAAGCATTAACATTACAGTCCCATAGACTGCTGCAGTTAAGCTCATTCTCTATCATCAACAGAGTTGCATATTATTGCTGACCCTGCACATTAACTTGAGTGCTTGTGATACTTAATTTAGTGCTACATAAATAGATTGAACAGAATGTGCTGCAACCACTTTGCTCTAACACCTTGTTGAATGAAAAAGATGCATTACTTTTTTTTATCTAATCATACCTCTCTCTCCAGAAGAGTGTTTTTAACAAAGATGGAACCATCATCTCTGTTTATGTAAAACATATCGTCAGGTGGATTCTGATTTATGATGGTGTAGGAAATCACAGAACGTAAAGACCATGGTTCATCAGCATCAGTTGCTGTTACTTTCATCACAAAACTACCTGAAAAACAGCATGAAATGAAACAGTCATAAAACTTAAAACAAACAAAAAGAATGGCATTAAATGGCATTGTTTGTTTTCTTGTGATGTAAAACAATGACTTACTTTCCACTAGAGCTTTAACTTGTAAAAGTTTAAGTCATCTGTAACACTATTTACTCAATATACTGGCCAAACTTTTAGAGGCTTTTATAGATTCTTACAAATATAAACTTAACTATATAAGAATTCAGACACATTTGTTAACTCTAGACTGCATTTACCTTACATGATAACTCAATGTTTTTTATGCTATCACCTTTAGCAGGTCATTGTAAAAATTTGATCACCCTGCAAATACAAAGCCACAATCCTTTCTTTAATTCATTAAGAAATCATGTAGTATTACATCTCCATACATTTACGACGGGATTTATACCATTGACCTTCAGGACTGAGCTCATCAACTTCACCAGGCTTTATTTGCCCAAACACTGGAGCATTGTCATTCTCATCTACAATCTGGTAAAGGTACCAATCCCTTTCTTCTGCAATCGTGCCATTAGCAAACTTAATTACAAGCGTTAGCTGAAACGTGGAAGAAAACAACTTAAACTATCTTGTCTTTCTCATCTATCCTATCATAAACCTAAAACAAAAAAGTGTCTGTAGTAGGGGTTTCTACCACCACCGAAACTGCAGTTTATATCCAGTGTTGGGTGTAATGCGTTACTAAGTAACGCATTACTGTAATTAAATTACTTTTCCACTAAAAAAGTAGAGTAACTAATTACTGTTCATTTTTAGGTATTTTAATTACAGTTACTTACAATGTACTTGCGTTACATTGTAAAATAATTAAACTCGCTGAATATCATTATTTAATTTCAATAATTTATCTTCTAAACGTAGAAGTAAACTCTGCCGCTTTAACATCTCTGTAGTGCAGATGCACGTCATTTCGCGCCAGTTTGCTGCACAGTCGTATTCTAAAGCAGAAGATGTCGGACTTGGCTGAAGCGTGTGGCTGTTTCATGAGATGGACATATTCCCGTCTCTTCACTTTTCTGAAACAAGCAGACAAGAATATTACAGTAATATGTAAAAACTATCGGCTGCTGTTAATAGCACGAGTAATCTACCGAAGCACCTGACACAAGAGCATAGACGAACACTTCTGAGTGATCCTTGTTCGTCATCCATGGATAACACCGCGGCAACTCCTGCTAAGCAGGCAAAACTTGATTTTACTTCAGCAGCACAGAAAGCGTCTGAAGGTGAGCTTAAAAAAATAATTGCAGGCTACATTGTGGAAGAGATGCTACCGCTGCGTACTGTAGAGTCTCCGTCTTTTAAAAAAATTATTTATTATTTAAAGAGTTTAGTTTCTATTGTTTGTCCACTCAAGGTTTATAGGGATTTTAAGAAGTATTTAGTTACATTACTTATTCAGTAATTAAGTTACTTTTCTGACACAGTAATTAGATAAGTATTTTAAATACAATATTGACTAAGTAATTAGTAATTAATTACTTTTTTAAAGTTACTTACCCAACACTGTTTATATCCATGTCTTTTCAGACTCATAGAACAAATGTAGTGTATGTAGACTTTGAAGGAGCTGCTTTTGAGCATCAAATATTAGTGAAACCAACTATGAGACTAAATGTGAAATATGGTCATATATGAGACACATGAGTTATGGAGTGGATCAATGGTCAGTTAAAAAAAATTGCAGAATATTGTGATGGCATAGTGAACTTTACCTTTTAACATTTCAATATAAATTGACCCTATCCTGTTTTTTTTTTTTATCCTGTCATCAGAATAAAAAAAATGTATTGAATGTAATACATATTTAGGATTTCATACATTATAATCAAATGTATGCTCTGTGAAGGTAGCTGATCCTTGAGTTCAAGTAAAGGTTTGTGTTAGAGTTTGTGTAAAGTTTGTGTTTGTGTCTTCCAAACAAATTAAAATCAAGAGTTACAACTGATAGTAAAGTGGCAATAAAATAAAGAGTTTAGCAAATTGTTGCTAAATATTTCAACATTTAACACATGAAGGAAAAAGTGTTAAATCTTATGAATGCAATAACAAGGTACAATAGAAGAGAATCACTAACAGAATAATAGGGGATGAATTCCCTGTCGAGAACTTGGGTCAAACGGATGTGTCCAGTATGAGGGTCGCTCACAAACACATTGAAGGGGTACTTGTCTGCCCCAACACCTGTCAGAGAGTATGTAACATTTTCATATTCTGAGTAAACCTGAAACACACAGAATAGCACATAGATAAATACTTCAGGGTTGGCAGACCACCATCTATTTGTCCATCTAATGGCTATTAAACATTATTTGTTTTTGAAAATCAAAAAGTTAGTACAGTCAATCTGTTCATGGCAGCTAACTAGAAAAAGAAAAAAGAAAAAATGGCACACCACATTTTCCAATTATTATTGCAATTTCACAAACCTCACCTATGGCCAGCTGAGCTCTGAGACCTGACACAAAGAAGGCACTTGTTGATACAAGGGACTGAAATGACCTTCCCCTGTAGGGCATCTAGACTCTCTCTTAGATATAGAGCGAGGAGCTCGGTCATTTAGGAAGAGCGCAGAGAAGAAGAAGAACTTCAAAATGACTTTTTTCATATATAGTACAATATGGTAATTACTTACTACAATGAGCTGCTTCTTCCTGCTTTATTGTGCTTTAGAGTTAGCACAAAAAATTAAAGTTGGGAAACAGTAACTTACTTTTTCAATGTAGTCTAAATTAGTGTAATCTCTATTTTCCATCAGCGTCTTAGGGAAAATGCACATTCTTCGCTTTTTAAGTGACCTGTCTTCAGAGTTGGCCATCAGCACAGCGACAGCCTGCAGCTGTAACAAAACAGATGTTTGTATGAAGAATTTCTTAACAGAATCTCAGCTACATACAGTTAACTGGTTTATAAATTATCTCTCATCATGGGAGAAATCTTTTTTTTTTCTTTTCAGTTTTCTTATTCATTATTAGATGAATTCCTTTTAAATATGATGCCAGCAGCATTTTTCAAAAACGTCGTGACAGGAACATAATCACAATTCACTACCTTTAACGATCAGCAAGTGTTTTAATCAAAGACGTTTGGTCAGGACAAGCAAGGCAAGCAGTGACTGCTTTATTTAAGTGTTACCTAAAATTTAATTACAGGTTAACAGTCATGTATGCTGACTGTAAGCAGAGCATGAAAAACTGGTTTTATTGATGATAGCTCAAAAGTCTGTTTTCAGGATTCCCTCTGAAAGTTGTTCCCATGACATTAACTAACATTCAACTGTGAGTTTCTTAAATGACAAACAGAGAAACAGGTAATTGGAGTACTCATGACAATAGATTGACTGACATTATAAGAACTGTAGGTAGAGTTTATAGACTGATTTATGATCAGTATCAATTAAAACCTGGTATAGCCCCACAGTGTTAAAATACTGGCCTGAATTATTGTTTCAACCAGCTCGTGAACAATTTTATTTTTTCTCTAAAAGTTGCAGCGAGTGAGCTGTTGCAGCTTCAGTTACTGCAGTCCTTAAAGTACTAGTACACATTCTCACAGAAACAGAAAAACAGGTTTTGTTCTGAGGTGTTAGTTAGTCTTAACTACACTGTTAACTACACCACTCAGTTCAATGACCGGCCTGTGAAAACCAGCATACAGCCGTTACATGTGGATTAGAAAAAAGTGGTTTCAATAATATTATTGTTATGGAGTGCAGATCGAGCAGGGTTTGACCCCTGAGAGTCAGGAGCAGAGCAGGCCATAATCCATCAAAACATAGCAAGTGAAAACTCGACCTAGCTCAGTTTACTCAATGACGGAATTTTACAACGGCTCCACAAAATGAAAGTGTTAACAAAGTGTCATTTGTTAACTAAATATTAATAAGTTAAAAGGAGGTTACAGCAGCTATGTTAAAGCTATGTATACAGCTATGAGTGCTAAAAAAAAATAAAATAAAAAAAATAAAAACTCCACAAACGTGTTAAAACTCCATGCCAGTGTGCAGCAGCTCAGAAGAACATAAGAGGACTCACTACAAACAGCAGCAGCACAAACATCGGTGCAGAAACCCGAATCATGGCTGGAGGAAACAATCCGGATCAAAGAAACTGTAGCGTGACTTCTTGCATGGATGACTGAGCTGCTTGAAATGAGGATTAGTGCTAAACGAGGAGGAGACACACACACACACACACACCCTTGCAGGAGGTCACACTTTGTGAGATCCAGTAGCGGTTTTTTAAAGGGGCAACATGGGCGGTTGCCCAGGGCGGCATCGTGGTAGGGGCTGCATCACGGGCATCGGCAACAAAAAGTTGCTCGTACATCATGCCAGCGCATTTGGACCGTGGTCAAGTGAGCAGTCAGTTGTGAGCCGCAGTCAAGCCAGCCGCCTCTTTTCAGTCGCATTAATTTTCTTGCGCTTCTACACCGGCATTTGCGGCAGTGCCTTTTCTCCTAATCTCCAAAAGTTGATTTTGTTCATCTGGACGTAGCGTTTTGTGGGAGAAACGTTTCGTCATTCATCCAAGTGACTTCTTCAGTCTCAGCTGACTGCAGGTTTCCCCAATCTTATAAACAGTACAACCTTGACCACTTGACCGCAGTCTAGCGCAAGCGCAAGTCCTTCTTTCAGACGAACTGCAAAATAAATTTCCCTCCTGCCGACCATAGCTGGACTGGCCATCCCGGTATTTTTCGTGATTCTTCGTTTGATTTTATGTTTTTTCTTTCTTTCTTTCTTTCTTGTAACGGTATAAACAATGAAAGGAGGTGGATTGGCCAGATGCTGGCCGATGCCTAAAAATAACTCAATTGTTTGGTAGTGCTCCTTCAATCATGAAACTGATCAATGATCAGCTGATCGGCTTTTGCTCTTGCTCCACTTTGCGCCAGAAAGAAGAAACCAGCGGATGTCGCGCTAAACAACAGAAGCACGTTTAAAGTTGATCAGCTGTTGTTAGAATTTCTTTAATATTAATTTCTAGTATCTGCTGATGTTTGTTGGAGCCACAGCTGTAAAAGCTGCTGGT